TGAATCTCATGCAGCGCAGTGCTCCTACCCTTAAAAACGTACAATCACAGCTGTAATAAATCTAAATTGAATATAATTTTAGGCACTGTTAGTATGTTGGAAAGCCATCCCAATTACTCAAATTTTTTCATTCTGTCTGTACTACTCACATTGTGTAATTTCTTGTGCAAACTAGAACAGCATTGTGTAACTTTTCGGAGACAGGGTTGCAAATTCCTTGTCACAAATTGTCCGCCCCCCCTAAAAATAACAAAAAAACCAATCACTTACATTTAAAGATATGTGCACTCTGGTCAGCCTCGTTTGTTTGGTGCTTATTGGATTTTTTTTTTATTATTTTTTTTTTTAACTTTTAGGTTTTTTGGGGTTTTTTTTTGGTAAAAACCTATACAAATGGTTTCAAGCATCCAATGTAGAAAGAATGTCAGCTCCGTGAGTGGACATACAACTGTCCGACAAACACTTGTCAAGCCTGATAATCTGTCACAGTAAAATCAACACTTGTTAACGCTGGAAGATTTGCTGTGTTACTTTTCATCTTATCCTTCACTGTCAAGCGGCTATTTTTTGAGCGAGTCCATATTGTGTATCGATTCTCCCTGTTCTGCATCAGCATCTGATGTGTGAGGGTGAGAGCGCGGGTTGAAAAGGTCTTCACATGGTCTGTTCATAGCAGTGATTAATGGCGCTCATGATTTAACACCTGCTGTTTTAATGTGGCCACTGTAAGAAACTGATCTCAACACGCTTGCGTGAGTGCTGTCCCCATTTTAAATAGCTTCCTAAATTTATCAGCTTTGTGTAGGTCAGTTCAACCTGTGCGTGCTGGGAAATTTCTAATAGCTAAGACTTGAGCTATACATGAAAAAAAAAAAAAAAAGGCCACATGTGTTCTGTTTATTCTGTAGGACATTCATGAAGTTTAATTGAAGTGGTTGTACAATAATTTTACAATTATAAATGCGATTGTGGTTTATTTTCATTTGTTTTCTTACTACAGAAATGTTTATTACCTGCCTCCATAAAAGCAATTCATGTGTTTGATAAAAGCTTCAAAAACAGCAGTGTTTTAGGAAAGTAGTTGGAGAAGTACTCTGATCCTTTACTTAAGTAAAAATACAAATGCAGTAATGTAAAAATACTAAATAACAAGGAAGGCCTTCAGCTAAATTCACACTTTGGTAAAGCACAGAAGGATTAAAGTGCTTGAGCTCGTGATTATATATCACTATATATTATATTCATAGGTTATTATTACTGTGGCACTCTGTTATTCAGTGCAGCGATTTACGGATGTACATGATCGAGGACGAGATATATCACTTTATATAGTAAGGTATGTTAGTCCACTGGTTCCCAACTAGGAGCTGAAATCTGACAGGGAGTCCAACTAGGACCTGCTTTTTCATAAGGGGTCAAAAGATTAAAAGGTTGAGGACTTATTTTTTTCAGCTTAGCAGGTACCTTATGTCATAGATTGCGTTTATGTGGAAGCTTAATGTGACGTAACTACAACCGTCAAATGAATGCAGTGGTGTAAAAATTTCCCCTTAAATGGAATGGACTAAAAGCATGAAGTATCAAATAATTAAAATACTACAGCAAAGTTCAAGTATCTTTAAAGTGCACTACTGTACAGTACTTGAGTAAATGTGCTTAGGTTGTTTCCATGGCTGCTCTGAAAACCGATTATTTCTAAGTGTCTACACCACATTAGTGACACAGAGAGCACAAGTGGGCTTTGAGGGTGACAAAGGCTTTATACTGGTGGCCCCTGTCCTTGATATTGCTGTCAGTTTGCCCTCCACATGGAGCAACTGTTGGCCCACCCCCTCCCTGCTGCATACCTCCAATCTGGGGCCCTGTCCAGGAAAAACACTTGTGTCTTCAACACTTAGACACACCACTAATAACTGGACCATTATTATGCAAGACGATCTGATTCAGCATTGTCCTCGGTAGCAAACGTCATCAACAAAAAAGAGTCCCACATTTGGCTTTGTCCAAAAATATTAACAAGCCCCACGCGGCTCTGGGCGTGAGCTGGAATGAGCTCGGCAGATCCGACCGATACGGATCCGCTACATCTGCAGATGAATGGATGAATTTAGCTTTTTTTAGCTGACTGGCACCAGCTGATGGCGAGTATTTCTCTCCATCATGTAGGCAGCTGTTTCAGTGAGTGTGCAAAGCATTGAGGACATTCTTGTCTCCACCAGCGTTATTAATTATTAATGCCAAAGTGTGCAACTGTTCAATCGGTTTTTATATAGTCGTCAAGTTGGGAGAAATATGACAGACTTGGCCTTCGTGTCACACTGTAAGAAGTGTGTCTGGGCTGCAGCTGAAGTAAGGAACTGTTTCACTTCTAATTTATCTTTCTGTCTTGGTCAAGGCAGTTTAATTTTGTGAATTCTATCAACTTGAAATTACACTTTGTACCTTTAAGCTGGTATTTGTATTTCAGCAAATGTGAAAAAATGAGGTTTACTGCTCCTTCAACATTGTGAATTTCATATCCACATTTCATTGCAACTCAGCCACCGTTTACTTTAAGTAGGATCACAGAGTAAAGACAAGGAAAGAATGGTAGTTTTGCTGACAGATCTTTATTTGGGTAAAAATATATATATATACATAAGTAAATACTTGGACACTTCAAGTTGACCTTCCTTAAAGTGATGTTACAGCAATGCTTTATGTGTTTTAAGTGGATCTAACTCCAACCAGTGACACTAATAGAACTTGTTAACCTGATTTGGATCAACTTAATTAAATTGTGTGTTACCAATTCAAGCAATGTATTTAAGTTGATCCAACAATTCTTCTTTTTTCCCCCAGTGTATATCATATTGGTCTCACTGTGTGAACAACCAAATGATAGAAAATAACACTGACTGATCCTTTTTTCTTTTTTTTTTTTAAACAACTTGAACCGATGACGAGACATTTCCTCACAGTAATTAGATAACAGTGGTCATACTTACTCAGTATTAACATTTATTTACTCGTATCCACTTCACAATATCTGTACTGCTGCTTACTGCCACTATACCAACTGTATGTTTTTTTTCTTTAACCATATTCACACTACTTAGCATGCTGAAGTTATGATGCATCCATATACTTAAGACACTTTACATTTCCATGTTTTTTCTCTGGCATTTTGCAAACCCTAATAGTTGCCTGAGCCTTTCTTCTTTGCTTTATGCACTTTAACAACATGTTTTCCCAGATTAAGTTTCCTAAAATTGTATGTCTATGCTGGCTTTATATTTTGATTTACAATTCACAGAAACTCTAACTGTATTCTATGGTTTTACCTGCATCTGAGAAGCCCAGGTTGCTTCCTTATTATACAATATCTTACTTTGTTGATGTTATAATTTAAGCTACGACTTAAGTAGATGTTCAGGAGTAAAGTTAGAGTTATGTAGCAGTTTTTCAAAACCAAACATAAAAAGTGCTTCACAATAAATTCACAGGATTGTAAGACACAAGAGCACCAAGACAGACGTTACAATGAAGAACTACAACTCTGTAGGACACTGTTAACTGCACATAATGTTCCTATGAGTGAAAAAAAAGTGAGTTTAATTGACTGTGCAGAGGAGCTGTTCTTCCAGGAAGGTGCTGAAGACCAGAAGTTACAAAAAGCCTGATTGTGACATTAAAGAAAAGCTGCATGAGATCCACATGAGAGAAGGCCTCATGGGATTTTCCTTGGGACTCCCCCATCTCTCTCTCTCTCTCTCTCTCTCTCTCTCTCTCTCTCTCTCTCTCTCTCCCTCCCTCCCTCTCCTCGCCGTGCGTCCCCTCCTCGCCGCTCCAGCCTGCAGAGTTTTCCGTCCTGTGTCAGGATAACATCGTAAACGAGGACCACCTGACGGTAAGACCGGACTAAATGGAAGCAGCGGAGAAAACTCTCACTTACCGAGATGACACCGGACTTCACAGCAAGCTGCTCACGGACGACAAGAGTAAGGACAGCGGGAAGGGGAAGGAGCGGGCCACAGAGACGAACAGCGACGAGTCCAACTATGTGGATCTGGACATGAAACCTGACGGGCCGAAAACGGTGAAAGTGACTTTCACCGGTGAAGGGAACCAGCTGTCTGTGATCAAATGCGACAGCTCGAAGCAGCATGAGAGTAGGATCATTGCGGAGCAGTTTGCTGAGGAGCAGTCGGAGGACGAGAGGGACGCCGGACCTCCGTCTGCTGAGCCTCCACTGGAAACTCTGATCCAACTTCCCAACACCGATCAGGACTCAGAGAATGAGAGGCAGCGCCAGGCCGAGCTGGACCCCAGTGACTGCAGCGAACATGTGTGCAGTGAGAGCGATGAGCTCCAGTACACGGACATGTATCTGAACAGCAAGACCGAGTCCGACGACGGCGCCAGCGCGGTGCTGTCCGACCACTGCGGCTCCGACACGGTGGAGGACGAGTCCCACTATATCACGACGCACGAAATCCAGCTGACCGAGCTCGACCACGACGTAGATTACGACCTGGGCAGAGGGACGTGCTGGGATTTCGAAGACGACAACCTGGTCTATTCCTTTGTGGACTACGCTTCTTTCGAAAGCGATGAAACTCAGGAGGGGACTTTGATACTGGAGGGCAGGAGCCAGGCGAAAGTGCAGTCTAATCTTGGTGGAGCAGTTGTCAGCACTGAGCAGGAGGAGAGTGATCTGTGTGACTCGGACAAATGCGCCAGCTCAGATGAAAGTATGTGCAAAAACCACAGCGGAGACCCCAATGCAGGGAAAATTCACTTTTCGATAAAAACATCCTCCAGAGCAGTGAACGACCCCGTCGGTGTCTTTGACGGCAGCACATGCGGCTACACAAAACACTTTGGAGACAGGAGCCATTTCTCCTTTGTGAGCTCTGGCGCCAGAGCAGGGCCCCTGTGCGATAGAGCCCAATATTTCATCCCTGCTCCGGGCCGTCAGCACCTTGCAACCAAACTGAGACGGAAAGATATTAATGAGTATTCCAGCGGAGCGTCCAGCTCCATCAGCGAGCTGGACGACGCTGATAAAGAGGTGCGTAATTTAACCGCAAAGTCTTTCCGGAGCTTGGCATGTCCATACTTCGATGCCATTAATCTTAGTACCTCCAGCGAATCTTCTGTGTCGGAATATGGGCTAAATAAATGGTCAGCTTATGTAGATTGGAACTATGGAAACATATCGAGGGGACGAGAGCGCAGCGTAATTGCGCACAAGACTTCCAGCGCAACGTTGGAAATGAACAAGGTTGTGGACAGTAAGAGGCATGGTAAGTCTGTTACCGGCATGAAAGCTCCACAAACCAAAATGTATGCCCTGAACAGGAGAACAACGTCTCAACAATCATCATCGTCTAGTAAAAAGATCCAACTGAAGGATCCTGTTCAGCCGGCGCAGCGTGGAGTCACGTTGAATTTCCGCTGTAACGTTCAGTCTCACGAATCAAACAGGGGTTCCAAATGTTCCAAGAAGGCTCGATCCAATGAGTTCACCGGGACTGTGTTGGCCAGGTCAGGGTGTGAGATGCAGTACCACCACACAGACAGCATGGGGGACACACACAAAAGGGCAATTTTTGCATCCAGTTTGCTGAAAAATGTGATTTCCAAAAAGATGCAGTTTGAACAGGAGCGCAAAATGGAGAGGGGGGAAATCTGTGACACATACCCATCACTCTCCCCCTGTTTTCAGATAAAAGATCAAGACGGGGTCAAGTGTCAAGGAAGAGGCTTGCAAAGGCAAACCTCAGAGTCAGGCTCAGGATTTACTGTTAATTCTGGTGATGATCAGGGCAGATCTAGTTCCTGTGGGCCTGCAGAGGAGACGAAAGGCAACAAAGTCCCAGATGATTCAGAGAAGGGCCAAGATGAGCATCAGAAAGCGCCACTCATCCACAGTCAAAGTAGTGCATTTAATTCTTTAAAGGAAGATGGGCTGGAAGCCGTGAAGGAGGCCGAACCTGCATCTGTGAGTGACACACAGACCACAGTGAAGGAAGGATTAGACACCAGCAGCATGCTGACAAAACTGCTTTTTGTTCCAAGCTGCCAGCTTCTTTCAAAGGAGAGGGATTTTACAGAAGCTGTCACAGTTGCACCTGCTGGCTCACAGAAATGTGAAAAAGAGCTAAAAATGGGCAATGAGGAACACGTAGCAGGCAGAGAAGAAAACGGGAAGGAGGGGAAAACACCTGAGATTAAAATACGCCTGAGAAGCGTGAAAGAAAACAAAGGCTGTACACTGAACATTGCCAATCTGTTAACCCCTAAAATAAGTTACAACGTCAACACATTCAGAGCAGCAGATGATACCAAATGCCATGTGTTGTCTGCGGTAGATAAGGTTCCAAACTTCACAGTTAGAGACATAAGAGACACCAAGTGCAAGTTTCAAACACCAATATATCATGTCAGGGATGTGCGTAAATTGGTAAAAAGCTCATATCGCTTTGTTTCTTTGGATAATAGTGATGGTAAATGTACCACAGCAGGCGACAAACCTGAGGGAAAGGCCAAAATGGAGCCAGTCAAACATTTGTTACCATCTCCTATTGTGATTAAATGCAACTCTGTTAAAACAAATGTTAAATCACAAACAGCTGCTGCGTCACAGAAACAAGCAGAGGCAGGAACCACATCTGAAACATCCCAAAGTGAAAATACAGCTTGTACAGCTAGCAGGGGGGTGTCGGTTGTAACCAAGCAGGGTTATACTGACCAATCAGAGAGTCAAGCAAATCCTGAAAGCAAACAAGCAAAACAGAGGCAGGAAAAGTTCACAGGTGAGACGGCTGAGAGGAGAAATGAGCCCACGGTACCAAAACAGGATGCACTGGAGAAACTGAAAGCCGCAGTGAAAACAATGGAGCAACTTTATGTGTTTGATAGAAATGAATGGAAACGTAAAACTCAGGCTCCACATCCCATCGCTGACAGTCACGTGTTGTCACTCATTGCCAGGGAGGAGCAGGGAGGGGAGGAAGTGGAGATGACAAACGCTGACAGGATTCCTTTAATAAATACCACAGAAACAGGGAAGCCACAGGGAGATAAAAGGGCGCTGAATATCATACATGTTCCTTATAACAATGACACCTTTAAAACACAATCCCAACAAGGTAAAACATTCACTAACAAAAGCATCCTTCATTTTGGTAATAAAACCCGTGTCAGTGTTAGTTCAGATAGTAACCCTGTTCCACAAAGCTCTGCACTGCAAACATCGCTGACCACGAAAAGCTCCAACACAGCGGTGGCTCCTCTCTCGGTGAAAATAGAGCCACCGAAACACAGCCCGGTGGAGCAGGGGAAGGTCAAAATCAGTCCCACTGCCACACAGGCCTGCTCAGACTCTGAGAACTATTTAACCATACCAGGGCTGGGATACACAAATGAGATCAAGCTGCTGAATCCAGAGCCTGCTTCAAGGGATTCAAACAGTAGTAAAACCCACGCAGGAAGCAGCAAGGGACCTGAGCAGAAAAGGTCTCCGTTAATCATGGAGTACCCGGCCGCAACCATCTACCATCACTCAGCGGCAGCGTCAGGGCCTCAGATCCAGCAGCAGGTGTTATGTTTCTCCCCCACAGTCCCCACTGTGTCTCCTACACCTTCTACTGGAGATTCAATCCAACAAACCCAGCGCAAGATGCTTCTGGACCCCACAACAGGACACTATTACTTGGTGGACACTCCCATACAGGCCACTACTAAGAGACTGTTTGACCCTGAGACAGGCCAGTATGTGGACGTACCAATGCCTCATTCACCTGTCGCTCCTGTCACCCCTGTCACCCCCGTGCCTCTCTCTTTGTCTCCCCTGGCGCTCAGCCCAGGAGCGTTCGCCCCCACCTACATGATCTACCCCGGCCTCATCCCTTCGCCCACTTTGGCAGCCCAGGCGGTGTTGCCTCAGTCCCCTTGTCACTCCGAGGATGCAATTGGAGAAAAGGTCAAAAAGGCCAGAAGTCCTCGGCCGGAGAGCCACGCGGTAGGTGCAGAGAGCGCGTATTACAGCGCAACAGGTGAAGCTCCACAGGGGCCGCTGCAGCTACCTGTGAGTTTGGGACATGTGACCACCAGAGGAAGCGTGGCGAGCTCTGAGAGGAAGCCAGTCATCAGCATCACAACGCAACAAGGTCCAAGAATCATCGCCCCTCCCTCCTTTGATGGAACAACCATGAGCTTTGTAGTGGAGCATCGGTGACCAAGAGATTATCTCTTCAGACATGTAAGTTAACCTGAGGAAGCACTGTCCTCCTCTCTTCTACACCTCTGCTTTACTGAGTTGTTCAGCATTTGAGTATATTCTTTTAGGAGCAGATAAAACATCTTTAAGTTCACTTGAGTTTACATGATTATAAACCACTGATGTAAGGTTGAAAGAGTAAAAAGTATGTACATTCAAATATCACCTCATCTAAACAATGCTCAGTTGAAATTTGTTTGCATTTATTGAAAAAAAAAAAAACACAACATGACAGTCGAAGTACATTGTGACTGTATTTTCTGATTCAGAAGTCAATCAGCAGCATGATGCAAAAATGCTAAATTCTCAAATAGGATTATTTATTTCTTGTCTTTGTTGTATTTGATTGTAAACTAAACAGTTTCCGAGTTTTTTGTGTTAGTTGGACAAATCAAGAAATCTTAGGACGCTACTCTGGCATTTAGAAGTTGTGATCGACAATTTTCATTATTTTCTGTTACTTTAAACAACAAACACTAAACAAGGCGATGCAGCTTTCAGTCAATATTTAATGACAAACTGTCCAGAGTGTTTTGTAACAGTATACCAGTAGCTCCATGTTTAATCCTTGCGTTTTGACAGTTAAGTCTTTAAAAAAAAAAAAGAAAGAAAGAAAAAACACAGATTTGTATGTAAATTTAGATAAATGAAAGGATTCAGTGTTATTTTAAAGAGTTGAGAAATTGAAAAAAAAAGTTCAAAACTCCATTGAAAAATCTTAAACATGCTTTTAAATGAGCTCTATTAATACAGTTAATGGAAAGTTGACATTTTGGATTTCCTTATCATTGTGGCATGTACGTGACCTCAGTTATGATACTGCTACTAGTCACTTTCACGGAACCAGTCTGTCCTGAAGTCCGCAGTGAGTTTCCTATTCGGAGGTTGAACCATCCCTGTGCAGCAGCGTTACATTCAGAGTCATGAGGCCTGGGTGGAGCTCTGCATGTACCACCCAATTTCTTATGTCATTTTTGGGTTGTAAATGTTGCTAAAGCAGCAGTCCAGTCTGACCGCTCCACTGGTGGCATGTCAGTGTTAATAGACATGCAGTAGCTTCATGACAGGTAACCTGACTCCACTGAGCTCGGCTGGACTAGCCAGGAGATTGGATTTTCAACCACGGCCTGGAGCTTTTCTCTGCATTACACATCGTCGGGCTATTTTGATAGTGTGAGACGAGTTTGTTTACATGGTTTATTCTCAGGGTTGGTAAGTGTCACAGGAAACTATTCCAGTTAGTGACACCTTACATGAAGTTATTCTTAATCAGTTATAAATGCTTTAATTACTCATATAAGATTACGGTTTATTAATGTGTTCGTTCCTTGTTTGTCACATTTCATGAAACTTGAATAAGTTGGAACAGTTTTGCCTTGTGCTACTGTACTAGCAATTAGTCCACAGATGAAGTACAAAATACTTACTATCGGGGAAAATGGCTGCACAATGAATCCACTGAAATGGTGATTTATTTCTAACAAATAACAGTGTCAGTCTAATAGTCAGCTAAGCAGATTTGTTGTGAAGTTGTTGATGCAGATAGATGCATTTAAAACAGATCAGCTGAAACACAATATAACACAAGAAGCTGAATATGCAGTTTAAAAGATGCGTTTACCCAAATCACTAAATACATTTCAGGGGAAAGAAAAAGTATGTTTGTAAAAAACTGTGTGGTATACAGGGTATAGTACTGGGAAAACAAAATTAAACTAAAGTTTGGGGGAAATGGTGTTCAAACTTACTTTTCCGTATGTCCTCAGTGGTATCTGAGACACTCTTCAAGTTCTTGTATGCTACAGTAATGAAAGTTTATCATTTTCAGTTCCCCTGATTAGCACAACCTACAGACTTTGCTAGTTTCTATGGCATTTATTTCAAACTTTGATAGAAAAAGAAATACATGCTCATCATTAGGTATGTAAATCGAATTGATTAAGTGCCAAATTTTCTTTGGAACAAATTTCCACTAAAATAGTGAAATCTGCCTTCAGTTGTATTTGTGCCACAAATCAAATATAATTAAACTCTACTGGTGCTGAGTTAGTAACATAAACCTTAAAGCCATTTAAATAAAATGTATTTTGCATTGACCCTGTATGATAGAAACTTTAGGGCATTAGGACACTTAAATTGTCAAGTAGCTTCAACTTTAGCTTCACTGTGAAATGCTACCATTAGTGTGCTTGCTATCTATCTATCTACCTATCTATCTATCTATCTATCTATCTATCTATCTATCTATCTATCTATCTATCTACCTATCTATCTATCTATCTATCTATCTATCTATCTATCTATCTATCTATCTTTGTCTAAGTTCCAGCTCCAAGTTGTACTCAGCAGGCCTTTTTCACTGCAGATGTTTTGACTTGTACATCAGTGACTTGATGCGAAACTGATGTGAAATTCAACCTGTAGTAATATCACTAGCACCAATGCTTTCCTCGCTATGACTTGCGTTATTGTTAAATTGTGCACCATAATAATACACATACCCTTATCTAAACAGTGAAAACTGAACTTGATAAGTGCAAAGTGCTCTGACACACATAAATCAAACGGTCAGAACGACCAGAAAACATGATACTGCTGCAATAATTCAGAAGATGAAGGCATACATTAGTTTTTCTAGACCAAAAATAGGACAGAAATAAATCCAGAGCTGTATCTTTACGATGTGACATGCTAGCCCACTCCTCTTTTTGATACACTCATATATACACATTTACAACTAGCTGCAGTCCATTCTCAGCTGATGTGTCAGAGCAATAATACAACTGCATGAGCATGAGGGATACATGTCAGCTGGGTGCGTGGCAGGCAGGGGCCTAGCATGGGGTTGAGTAGTGGTGTGAAGGGAACACTGTGTGTGTGTATGTGTGTAGGTGTGTGTGTGTGTGTGTGTGTGTGTGTGTGTGTGTGTGTGTGCGTGCGTGCGTGCGTGCGTGTGTGCGTGTGTGTGCGTGTGTGCGTGAGGGACATGGGGGGCATGGCTGGGATAGTGATGCAGGAGGAAAAGGTCAGGCAATGTAAAGTATTTGTTGTGCTGATGCAGGGAGAGGACAGCTGCTCGGAGAGATCAGATGCTGCTGCAGCTCCAGCTTGGAAGAGAGTCTGCGAGACTGAGATCGGGTCAACTTTTTATAGCCCCCTCCCCCTCTGCTTATTCCTAAATGGGGAAGGAGGTGGAGAGCACTGGCGACTACCATAACTTTTATGTAAACAAATCGAGTAGCATGCCAGTGGCAGTGATTTCACTGACTCTGGTCACGTACTCCCAAATTATGAAACCTGCACATTTAAAATCAGTGCATTTCAATGGCTTTTAACAACAGCTCTTTAGTAAACTAGACTTATTACATTTCTCCTCTGAAGTGTCACCTTGTTCATCCATCTGAGTTTAACTCCCATATTATGTCTTCTTTGTCACCTCCAGGTATCTCTGTTGAGGAATCTGCCATCATTCACTGTAAGTGTCACCCCACCCTGCGATCTACTGCCAGGACAACTTCTGCCGTCATCTTCTGCCCCCACCCTGTTGCGTTGTTTATCCTTACAGCAGACATTACTGTATTTCTGTATGCATTGCTGCACTTTGTAGAGTTAACACATTCAGCCACGCTCTCTGGCTGGTGTTGTGAATCAGCTTTGTAATACTTTCCATTCAGCTGCTGTCTAGAACTTTGATCTCTGTTTAAATGCTGTTTGTGCCCTGCAGCATGTCTATTCAAAAGGAAACGAGGCAGGTCTTCTGTCACAGTTCAGTGTTGTTCATTATTAGGCCAAGCCACCATTTTATTAATATGAGTTTAATGTTACCATGCATTTGAAGTGAGACTATGTAACTTTTGAAAAGAAGACTACTATCTCGCTTTTACAAATTAAAGGTTAAATATACAATATATAAAATGCAACCTTGCTAAAGTCAGTACACTTAGAGGATTTGTTTGAAAGGCCTCTATCAACAGTGTGAGCTAGGACTTCAGAGACTTCAGTGGTTTTATCACAAAGATAAAACAAGAAGTAAACCCATCATACCTTACAAGGGGACACGCCTGTTTTCTGCTGTGTGCGGTCCCATTACAGTTAGTCAGCACTGCAGCACTTCCAGTGTCCAAACACAAATCCCCTTGTAGCCCAAAAAACCTTTTTGGAAGAATTTTTCCTTGTATCCCATGGAAAACAGACCTTGATTCAGCCTCCAAGAGGTTTTGGCAAGCCATCTGCCAACACAGGAGGGCTTATCCCAAAGCTGTTTTCAGCAGGACAGAGGAACTGTTGACTGAGGATATTGTCACAATGTGGAGGAAACTCTTTGTGGAACTGCAGAACCTAACAGAGTCTTCCTCCATGAAGGGGGCAGAGGTGGAAGGTTTGCAAAAAAACAAGGTCACTCAGGTGGTCAAAGAGCTCGCCAGTGGAAAGGTGCCATTGGGTGGATGAGATCTGCTTGATGTTAAAAGCGCTGGACATTGTGGAGCTTGCTTGACTAATGTATTGACACTCTTGAATCCGGTAGCGAGAACCAGAGCTTGTGCTCCAGCTATTGGGGTATCACATTACTCAACTTCGTTAGAAAAGCTTATATCCTGTTGTTGGAAAGGAGGTTCTAACTGTAGAGCCATTCTGCTTGTGGAACAGTGGATCAGCTGTTTGATTGTTCAAAAATCCTGAAGGGACCATGAGTTTGCGCATCGAAGCTTTGTGTGTTTTTACCCAATGGCTTTTGTTTGGTACTGTGAGGTAACAGGGCCGTTATTATGGGCCCTCGGTCCTCAGGAGTAAGGTTGTGATTTGCCTCTAATTCAGTTTGTGATTTTCAGAAACAGAATTTCTTGCCATAGCTGAGGTGTGGAGCCAAGAGGTGTACAAGTACTGTTACCTGAGAATTGCATCTCTGCTTTTTGTGAAAGAAAGGTTTCTGCTGCCGTCAGGCTCTAACTTCCACTAAACACTGGGATAGTTTATGGCCGGGTGTAAAGCAGAAATGATTGGAGTCTGGAGCACGGTTCATGGTGGGTTGTTGCTTTATGATTTTGAATGAATTACTGCCCCAAGTCTTGGGACTTGTTCTTGTTCTGTTTGTTCGAGGGTTAAAATGGAGTATAAAGGTGACAAGCAGATTGGTGGCAGCTCTGCAGCTGCAATATTAAACTGTTGTAGTGTAGAGAAAGCTGAACAATCACACTTTTTGACGCCAACCCTTAACATTAGTCGTTAGCTTTGGATGATGACTAACAGAACGAGATCACAAGTATCCAATCTGAGTTTCATTTTCATGCTGATGCAAAGAGAAGATGGTGAGCTGCAAGGACCTTGAAAGAGTATTGTTGCTCTATCCAGTTGAAAAAAGTCAGCTGAGGGGGTTCGGACATCTGATTTCTCTGGAGGTATTTCCAACAGATCTAACTAGGAGGAGGTCACAGGGCAGACCCAGAATACCCTAGAGGGATTACATACCCTATCTGATCTGGGAATGTCTCAGGGTCCTCCAGGAAAAAATGAGGAAAGACATATGGACTACCTTGCATAGCCTGCTGCCCCCTGGACTCACAGTGGAAAATGGTTGGATGGACGTCTGTAAAGTAATTCACGTGATACCATAGATTCTAAACAAGTTGACTTTACTATCATGTGTTATTAATTTTTGATCCATTAATGTTACATTTTTATAAAACATCAGTAATAAATGATGGAATGGACCAGTGGGGATAATAATGATGTGTCTCTGAAGCAAGTGACACTGCTAATCTGGGAAATTGAGAGAAATTCAATGTCCTATTTTTATGTAATTGGTGCTCGGGGCCACAGGGGTCGCTGTTCAGCAAAAGTTACATAGTCTCAGTTTAAATCACACCAGATGGTATTTACTTACAATAAATACATCATAACACATATTTTACACAGTTTTCAGATGATAGGGACCATTTGTCTGCACTGAATTTTTAAAAATTCTCCAGATTAAGGGGTAATGCAGAGTCACCCCATGTTTTCTTTCACAGTAAGTTCAAACAGAAGATAAATTCAAATGATTGCATTTCAAATTAGTATATTTTGAAAAAGTGCCAAGTAAATGTTCGTAAAATGATATACATCTGACAATGCAATGTGCCATATCACTAGTCTCCAACAGGCTTTCCACATTTACAACAACATTTCCATGTTTTTTAGCAGTCAGTCGCTCATATTCTACTTGAAGTATGTGTAACCTCTGAGTCATGACTCACAAAATGCTGTTTATACCTTCACAACTGATGTGCTTTATGAAGTGGTGTGTATTTATATTATAAAGGCAGCTCCTTGTAGGCTACAGTGAGAAAATAAGCGAGGAGAAACACACTATGTGTGTTACTCAGAGGAAACAGAGCTGGGACTCTGGTTTAACTGTATACTTAGGTCACTAAGTAGTGTTGGGCCTAATGAGTCAGAGCCAGCTGAGACATTTAGAGGATAACTTCCTCTATTTGTGTTGGTTCAGTTTACACTTTGTGTAATGAGATGGGAGTTGATGCGCGTGCGTCTGAATGCGTCCACGTTTGTGGCTCAGAGTTATGTATGGTATTTGAACATTCTGTGAGTACAACAAGGAGTTATGTTACTTCAACCAGACAGGAGTACACAGACTGTACATGTGGTTGGTGCGTCTTTACACACAGCAATGTCATGTTCTCTTATTTATGTCTGGACTTCTTCAGTTTAAACTGTCTGATGTGAGTTGTTTTTTTAAAAATTTATTTTAGATATTTTCTTTTTTCTGTCCTGTTTCCATTTGAATGTGCAGCGGGGCATCATGTGTCATTGTGCTTGACTTGACTCAGTTATACCAGCATCCATGTAGAAAAACTGCAAACTGTAGATTGCTATTTTTAGCATGTTTCAACACTAAAGACAAATTAAAGGTATTTGGAGCTGCTGGTCAGTCTATGTACCTTCATGTAAAATACATATTGTATTGCCTCTGGGACAGCACACTTTATACAAACTGACCCATGAGTTGATTTCATTATAAATGATTCATGCAGTGATCTGGAAGAACTGTTGACTTTTGAAAATGATCTGCTCTTTAGAGCAATTTAATGTTGCAACATTCAATGCTTTCTGAGGTGAAATGTGACTTAAATTTGTAAATTGAATTCATAACACTTTCTTAATTATATAATTTTTGTTGTTATTGAAACAATTTTCCCCTGAGTACATTGAGAGCAGTGTAAATAGAATTATTTATACTGTTAAATATTGATTTTATATATAGAGAAAAAAAATACAATTTATTGTATAGAATTTACTTTAAGAAAAAAAAAAGGAAAGCCTTAAAGTTTGCCATAAACAAATAAAAAAGTAAATAGCCAAAGCAACTTTTCTTAGTATGGATAAGTCTGAATTGGTTTGCTGGCTTCTCCTGAAGAGTTTTGAAAGTTTATATGTGGACAGCAAGTTGTCCAAAGATTTTTTTAGATCATACATTTTTATCTCATATACATATCATTTTAAAACCCTGTGATATTAAAATACATAAGAAATATATTATAATTTGTAAGCTCCAGTAAACCAGCTATTCTATTGTTAGGTATAACCATAAAATGAATGAAAAAAACCCATTCTCACATGCATTTTGTTAGCATCTTGTATGACCTTTATCTGTGAATATTAATGTACTTAATGCACTTGGATTGTCACTCTTTTCTCACCAACAATAACAGCAATGAACAGCTGTGAAAACTGGTGATAGGAGCACGATGTGGTCTTGTTCATTTGAAAATGAAATCATTTTTAATTGTCTCATGTGAATTTTGCCCAAAGTTGCACTGTAACAGAGATGATATGATGAGTTTTAAAACATTCTTCAAGATGTCCTTCAAAATAAGAAACAAAATGGCAGTTTTTTTTAGGTTCAATGTGGGAAACTGACTGCATCACTGCTTGATTTTGTATTTAAAAGAAAAAAGAGGGCTAAGGTGAAATGAAGGTGAGATGGTTTGGGATAAGTGCTTACAGTATGGGACTGTTTAAAGAAAAAGGGGCACATGATTGAATGAAATGTCCTAATGACTATGAAGTCATCAGTGGCATTGCGTGCCATCTGTTTCATGCATGATGTCAACTGTGTTTGCGTGGTTGCCCCAGAAAAAGGCAGAGGTCGGGATGACAGCAGAGGGATACCTTGAAAGGAGAAGTGAGTGCTGTGTCTGCACTCACAATCTTGAAAGTAAGAAATATGAGTGTAATGTAGACTGACAAGCCTACATATGTCTGCAATAAATTCAAAATACAAGCTACAGCTCAACATATTTCTGTCCGTTTGAATCAGTTTAATGTCTGCCTGTGTTTGAATGAATTCTGCTGCTGTCCTACCTTTTATTAAAGAGAAAAAAACTAATATTTAATGAAAACATATTTTTTGGATTATTAGAGCTGCTATCAAGAGATTGGAAAAATATGAACATATCAACAATTATAACATTTATTCAGCGAGCTACTGCAGAATTGCAAAAAGAGTACACCTTCTAATGAGGGTTTCTTTGTA